TGTGTGTGTGTGCACGTGCCCACTTGATTACCACTACGTAATCTTCTTTCCTAGGAAACTGGCATTACAGAGTGGTCTTATGATCTGTTCAGATTCAAACCTATTTATACCACTTATTAGATATGAGATTGAGGAGGGTATGCCAGCCCTTTGCCTAGTCTATAAAGCAACACCATTTTAGCCAATAGGACTTTGAGTTAGGACTAAACAATAATGTATAAAGCACTTAATACCTACTTCAGTCAGTGAGGGGAATGTGTTTGGAATGACCATTATTAATATAAATGGGGACATATGCATATCCTGTAACTTTTTTTTTCTCAACAGTTTATCTTAGAATCCTTATCTGCCAACCCATATGTATCACATTCATTTAACTGGAGAGAAATCCATGTGTATATACTCCATTCTCTTCTCAACTATCCTCCTATGGAGTAGACTTTATTACCATAAACAATGTTATAATTAATATCCTTATCTTTATTCTGTTTACAACTTATGTTTTGCTAGAAGTATAATTGTTTAGCTAGTGGATAGTACATCAAAAATGACATATATTGACGCATTATTTTCCAAAAAATCACACTAGACTATCTGCTTGCCAACTGGGTATAAGTTCCCATTTTCTGACATTGCTAATACTGGATACCATTAACTGTCTTGATTTTTGCAAATCTAGGGTAGAAATAGTAACCACTGTCATTTCAAAATTTTAAATTGTGTTTTTTATCTTTTTATATTTATTATGCCTGTCTTATTTATTAATCAGTTAATTTCTCTGTTATTTTTTTTTTTTTTTGTACTGGGGATTGAACCCAAGGGCACCTTACCACTGAGCTACATTCCCAGTTCTTTCTATTTTGAGACAGGGTCTTACTAAGATACTGAGGCTGGCCTTGAACTTGGGATTCTCCTGCTTCAGCTTCCCGAGTCACTGGGATTACAAGTTTGTGCAGCCATGCCCAAATATTAATTATCTTTTATTATGCCTTTTCTTTTTTTGTCTACAGAGTTATATCTTAAGTTGTAGGCACACTAATAAATTCTCCATAGTAATTTTTAGATTGTTATAGAGGCTGAGGTTTACATTTTAACTTTTTTATATAATCAAATCTACCAGTATTTTCTGGATTCTACATTTTATGTTTTGCTTAGGAAAATATTTTTCATCTGAGGTTATAAAAATATTGTCTATATTGTCTTCCAATAGTCTTAATGTGCTTTTCTTTTTTTTCCAGGGGGCGGGGTACCAGGGACTGAACTCAGGAGCACTCAACCACTGAGCCACATCCCCAGCCCTATTTTGTATTTTTATTTAGAGATAGGGTCTCAGTGAGTTTCTTAGCACCTCACTAAGTTGCTGATGCTGGCTTTGAACTCACAATCCTCCTGCCTGAGCCTCCCGAGCCACTGGGATTACAGGCATGCACCACCACCCCAGGCTTAATGTGTTTTTATTTTAAAAGCTGTTAGATATGTAAGCCATTTGGAATTTCTATTTGTTTATATATGTTTTTCCAAATACAGCAAAATCACCTATTAAATTTTACTTAGAAGAAAAACTTGGAATTGAATTGAATTTGTGGGGTAGTTTGGGACATTCATATACAGTGGGATTTACCCACTGAATTGGTCCGTAGTAGTAGTAGTAGTGAGTTCTGTAGTTGCATAGGTGATAATGGTATCTTTTATAATACATTGTGAAACAATTTTTGGAATGTAGTTTTTATTTTGTGGGAAATTCTATAGTTCTACAAACCTTTATGAATACTGCTGTAAGCTAATATTAAAGCTAAAGTGATGGGTAAAATTATTTTCAGTGCCCTTGAAGCTTACCATCTAGTGGAAAAGATACATCAGCATGATTTGTAGTGATTTCATTTGTATAAAACATTCCTGTAACACTAAAGAATGGCCCTCAACATAGCATGTTGAGAGGTCAGGTAAGGAAGGCTTCTGGAAGAGGTAATGTGAAATAAATCTTAAAGGAACAATTAGAGTTAACTGGGTGAAGCACGGTGTTTTAGAGTGACCAGGCAAGAGGCAGTAGAAAGTATGAACCAAGTTCTCACAAACAGACTATCACTTGAGGGGCTGGCTTGGGGCCGGGGAGAGGGGAGGGTTAGTAATATCACAGCTCATATGCCAGACCAAGAACTCCATATTTGTACTGTAGGCAATTTGTACTGAAAATTTTTAAAGAGTGGAGAGAGTGGCAAGCAGATTTGTAAGTGAGAAAGATGACCTGATAACAATTTGACAGATGAATTTGAATGGGCTGAGGTGGGGGTGCAAGAGGCAGACCAGTTAAGCTCTTTTGGCAATGATGCAGGTAAGATCTGATGGGGTCAGAAGAAAGAATAAGATATCAAAAAATGTTGAGGTACATGATAAGTCTTAGTGCATTTGGTAGGAGAAAGGCAGGGAAGAATCAAAGTTAACACCCAGATAATAGCTTGGGCGACTGGCTGGGTGACTGGATTACAGGCAGGGGCCAGGAGGCTGGAGGGTGGAGAGCCAAAGGGGAGATGAGTCAAAGTTAAGGCAGGCTGAGTTTCATTCATCTGAGGGATATACCAGTGGAGCTGTCAAGCCAGCAGCCATAGGAAGCACAGACCAGATTCTGATTTGATAGCCATTAGTATACTGGGTAGTATTTTAAATAATGAGAAGGGGATATGAGAACCAAGGGAGAGCATATAGATTAGTAAGAAAAGTAAGCTAAAGTCCAGACTTTAGGGGCCATCACATTTAATGGGCAAGAAATAATAACATTGATACTGGATTTTACATGCATTAGTTTTTTAAAAAAAAAATTTTAATTGTCAATGGACATTTATTTATTTTATTTATAAGTGGTGCTAAGAATTGAACCCAGTGCCTCATATATGCTAGGCAAGTGCTCTACCACTGAGCCACAACCCCAGCCCCAATATGCATTAGTTTTAATCCTCATAGCAATGCTTAGTACCAGATCCAATTATTAATTGGACCATTTTTATTAATGAGGAAACAGGCCCAGGAAGGCTAAGTATAGCCATTACCACACAACAGTGGATGGTGGAGTCAGAAAGTCTGGCTCCAGACCCAAGCCTGTAGCTGCCCTGCTTTCCTGCCTGGGGAGGAAAGAAATAAAAATGACAGAATATGGAGAAGTAGAAGAGAGCCTGAGAAGATAGGGAAGGAGTGTTTCCAGCCATGAATTGTCCATGATGTCAAGAACCTGAGCAGTCATTGAGATGAGGCCCTTGATATAAAGGAAAATAGTGGGGTTGGGGTTTAAACTTGTAGGTAGAGCCATCCTTAGAGTAGGTAGTTGGTTTGAGCATGATTAGCACAAGGTGGAGGCAGCAAGTGGTGAAAAGTCTGAAAAAGGAGGAGACTCAACAATTAAAACAGAATGCAGGCTTGTCCTTCGCTGAGAAATGGAGCATGCTTACAGTGTGGGGAAAGGCCAAGGTGAAGGTGAGGACACAAAAGTGAGAAAGCTAATGGGTGGTTGCTTTAGGAGTGTTCCCCGCTATTCACTGCCCCCTCAGCCTCCTAACATAACAGATAGGACCCCCATAAGTAATATGAGAGTGGAGTTTATGGAAGCTTCTGCTTGAAACTTGTCTCATTCAAGTGCCACAGCTTTACATGTCCCTGACTTCCTTCTTACTTGTATTGAGGTGAATCCTTCTAAGTCTCCTTTGGGATTCTCATTTCTCCATCCATCCTAGCTAGGATTTATCCTTAGCTTTCTTCTTGCTATGCCTCTCCAGAAAATCTTATTTGTCTACATGCTGAGAAATCCCAAGTCAATACTCCAGCCCTGAATCTCGTCTACCCAGTTACCTCCACCCAGCTGATTTCTTAATGTCTTTTTATGTCTTACAGTTACCTCATACTCACCATATCCATAACTGGGCTTAGTTGAGGTCACTTCATTTATGAAGACCTTCCCTTCTACCAGGAACCTCACCTCCTTCCCCACTAGCACATACACATTGTTGCTGTTTTAGCTTTGGTACCACCACTGCAAAATTTTTCTATAACCCTGCAATACTCATATAGCTGTTTGTCCCGTTACTGTACTTAACTATATCACATTGCAGTTGCCATTGACAATCTGTTTCCTTGTCTGATATAAATTAGTAGAGGACAGGGTTTATTTCTTAATTACAGTGATACACTCTGCTTAGTGAAAAACGAGATGGGAAGATATAGAAGCAAAAACATGTGCAAGGGATTGACTCTTTTTTTGTAGGGGGGAACCAAGGATTGAACTCAGGGGCATTTGACCACTGAGCCACATTCCCAGCCTTATTTTGTATTTTACTTAGAGACAGGGTCTCACTGAGTTGTGTAGTGCCTTGCTTTTTGCTGAGGCTGGCTTTGAACTCACTTTGTCCCTGCCTCAGCCTCCCGAGCCGCTGGGATTACAGGTGTGTGCCACCATGTCTGGTTAGGATTGACATTTTTAAAAGGAAGTAAGAACACGTTTTCTGAAATGAGACTGAAGGAGGCAAGAATAGATGCTGATTAGTACATATTTGGTAGGTTACACAGGAAGTGGAGGATTAGGGACACAATTTTCATAGTAGAGTAGGAGGTGAGATGGTTTACTGAGAAATGAGGGACAGGGGCTTAGGCTTGGGACTTGAATTTGAATAGTGAAGACAGGCTGTTTGAAGGGCTGGGTAGGGAGATTAACAGGAGAACTACCTCATGTGTGGGCTAAAGCATGGTGTGGGCCACTTGCAAATCAATTTCTAACCCACTACTAAAACCAGTGTAGATTTTGTGTTTTTGCCCACTCATTGTAGACATGGGGTTCTTCAGGATGGTTGAGCTACAAACTATATTTGCCTAAAGCTTTGAAGTTATTCCATTTGTGATAAAAATAGTGGGAATATAATGACAGAATACTAAAAGATATGGGAGCTAAAAGATATGTTGCATGTATCCCAAATATTTATATATGAAAAAGTAAAGACTGAGATAAAACTCTTGTGCTTTATTTTTTTAGAGTAAAAATGCCCCATATTTCTTTCAATAATAAAAATGGAAATAGATTTACTTGAAGGTTTCGTTGTGAACATGACCAAGTTGTGAATTTCTTTAGGTTGGCAAATTATGATAATAAAATAATGGTAACTCTTTTCAACAGAAGAACTTTCTAAGCATGGCTTCTTTTACCAAACATTTGGGACTCATCCAGTTAAAAGCACAGTGCTTTGACATTACCCATGTATAGATACACATGCACATATATGTATCCGCATACATACATACTCTAAGATATAAAATGGATTATCAGTTTTACAGGTAGTGGTTACATCTTTATAAAATGTGAATTTGGGTCTATCACGGTACTGGTAAGTGAAGTATTCGGACCAAGCTTGATGGAAGGAAAGGGTATCTGAGTAACAACTGGAATATCTTTTGTGGGTAATCGGTTACTACTGAACTCATGCAAAACAAAAGTTTGCTCCTATGGATGGATGTACATGCTCCAGGAAGTATGGCTTCTTTTAGCAAATCCTTTGCCACTGGGAACATGCTGCTGTTATTGTAAATGTAAATATACTATCTTTCTAAAACAGCCATATTCCATTTTTTTCCTCAAAAGTATCTCTAAAGGTGGCTGTAATTTACATTTACATTGTGACTATATAACCATCTGCCAGAGGGAAGAAGCATCTGTTATTAAATGAGCCCAAGTATTATCCCAGCTGAAGACATCACTACCTCTTACTTCCCTGTGCTAGATGTAGTCCAGAACTTCTTTATTTTCTTTTATAATAAATATATTTGAAAATTCCTATGCTTCAGCTGTTTTCTCAGATAAGGACTGAAGCAAATCCTTATAGACAGTAGAGTTCATGAATCGAGGATAAGAGTCTCTGTGCATTAGGGTGTAAATCTGAAGTTGAGCATCATCAAATATATGTTGGGATGGCTCCACCATATTTCTGTTGATTACTTCTCTTACTCGAGAGTCCAAGCTGACCTGTCAATAGAAACATTTGTTTAAACAGTTGTATTAGATACATTTCTTTATAAATCTGCCCCCAATTCACATAGCTCATTTTGTCTTTTGAAAGTCCCAAACCAGTCAGGTGTGGTGGCACATGTCTGTAATCCCAGAGACTCATTAGGCTGAAGCAGGAGGATCGAAAGTTCAAGGCTAGCCCAAGGCTAGCCCGAGCAACTTAGTGAGACCCTGTCTCAAAATAAAAAGGGCTGGGGATCTAGCATAATGGTAGAGTTGCCCTTGGGTCCAATCCCCTGCAGAGAAAAATAAAACCCCAATCCCCTTTCAAACCAAACAAAGTCATCTAAAAATCCAAACTGCCAAAAGAAAACCTAAAAGCCCAAAGAATGGGAGTTTTTAACTTTTCAGCAACATTAGCAGCCCCTAGAGGGCTTATTAAGTAGTTTGCTGGGTGCCATCCCCAGGGTTTCTGACTCAGTAGAAGTGGGTAAGAGCCAGAACTTTTATTTCTCACAAGCTCTAATGCTGGAGGGGATCATACTGCTTTCAAAAACCACAACATTGTATTGCTTCTTTTAAGTGAGAGTACAGTGTCCTTTGTGGAAGTAGTAGGAAAGGTAGCAAGCACAGACGTAGCCCTTGCTAATTTCCCATAACATGAAGGCTAACATCTGCATGCTTTAGCCTTTTCCCCAGCTAAAACACTATCACAGATTTCTGGGAACAATTATTAGGCTGACTAGATGGGTACATTTGTGAGGTTCGCGTGCACAAGGCCTGAGGGCCGATGATGCTTGGGGTTTCACTGATGAATTGTGGGGCCTTGGGCAAGGTGAACTCCATTGTGTCCATATTAAGTTCCTCATTCAGTGAAATGATGATGATGGTAGTTTCTAGATTTTTGCTGAGGATTTAATGAGAATTTACTTAAAGTGCTTGGAATCCACTAAGCCCCTGGGAGAGGATAGCTATTATGCTATGATGTTTTGCTCATGCTGGACAAGACTGTGTCCTAGAACAGGGCAAACCACTAGGTTCAGACTTCCCATATCTTCTAAGGAAAGAACCTCAGCTGGATCATCTCTGCACTAGCAACGTATATTTATTAATGTATGTGATTAGTATAAAATTGAAAATGTGGGGCTGGGGATGTGGCTCTAGCGGTAGCGCGCTCGCCTGGCATGCGTGCAGCCCGGGTTCGATCCTCAGCACCACATACAAACAAAGATGTTGTGTCCACCGAAAACTAAAAGATAAATATTAAAAAAAAAAAATTCTCTCTCTTTAAAAAAAAAAGAAAATGTGATTAGCTAAACTATGCATTTCAGTTTTGACTCGGGTGACCCATCTTTCCGTATGCACATGACCGTCTTTCTCCTAGTAAGCACCTCTTGCCTACCCCCAGTGGTACCTCAAATCCCACATGTTCAATGCCAACTCCCAAAGCTTCTAGATCTCCTTGTGTGGCTAGTGAGGGAATGGAACTGCCCCCAAACCAATTCAGAGTCCTGCTTATCCTTCAAGTTCCCTCCCGGCTCTGTGTCAGTCACAAAGTCCTCCTGATCCTACTTCTTTTTTTTTATTTTAAATATTTTTTTAGTTATAGTTGAACACAATACCTTTATTTTATTTATTTATATGTGGTGTTGAGGATCAAACCCAGCGTCACCCACATGCTAGGCCTGTGTTCTACCACTGAGCTACATCCCTAGCCCCCTACTTCTTTAACACTCAAATCTGTCTACCTCTTCTCTCTCTGACATAACCCTTGTGAAGGTCATTCACTGCTGCTGGATTTCTGTAGCAGCCTCCTGAATGGTCACCTGGTGCTAGTGCAGTGCTTCTCCAAACCACGCCCAATGGTTTGACCAAGAAGCTCTTTCTGAAGTGCAACATCCATCCTGACACTCCAGCTTTCTACCTTGCACTGGCTTGTTGGTGTGCTCAAGACCAGGTTCAAATGTTACCAGTTCCAAGGTTAAGCTTCTGAGGACCATGATGCTATGCTTCCACTAATTCCCAGCTCCATTTCACTATTTTCTTCAGAATCTGTTCTGAACCACTTGGGATTTAAAGAAGGAAGGAGCTAGAATTATCTTGTTTTTTTTTTTTCCTTCTGTCTGGGATAACCCTTTTCCCTATCCAATGAAGACCACTTATCCTTCAGATCTTGGTTTAAACATCACTCCCTACAAGACAGGACTTCACCAACCACCCAGTGGAGAGAGAATTCGCTCCCTTATTTTCCACATGTCTCCTAAGCTTGAAACACACCACAAAATATTTCACAGATTTCAGGGGGCACTTGGCACCCATCTGTGGAACCATAGTCAAATGGACTTAAATGCTATGAACAGAGGCAGAGTAGTTTTCGGTATATTGGAGTAGCCATCCGGTGCAAAGGTGAGCATGACCAAACATGACCCAATATGGAAGGAGTTTATTTTACCAAGGGCTCTTGGGAGAAGACCTTTCTGTGGGTACAAACCTCTTTAGGAGAAAGAATAGAAATGTAGTCTTCATATATTATCCTTGCTTTCTCTTCGATAATGTTTTTATTAGCTTCCTTTTTCAGTTCCTCACAAGCCATCCAGAAAAGCATATTTTCTTCACTGAATTCTGTTCGGAGAAATTCACGGAAAGCATTTCTTCCTGCTGGAGTGACCATTAAGTTGTCGAATGACTGAGCCCAGGCATTGACTTCTTCCAGAGTAGGAGTTGGGCTTAGGGGAGGCCAAAAGAAAGGTGGAAAGGGAGCTGTTATTGGTAGTAAATTCAAATTTCATCACTGGAAACCTCTTTCCCTCTCTGATGATGGAAAGTGTGTGAATTTTGGCACTTTCAGGAAGGGGAAATGATGTTCTCACCTCCTTAAGCCTTTGGCAAAAACACGAGTACAATGCTTTGACAATGTCTAGCTGGATTGCATGGCTGCTGCCAAAGTGCTTGTAAACCAAGTTGCTAGAATAACTACTAAGACTATATTTGTTTACAGCTGGTAATATTTTTAAATTATAGAAGCAAAGAAAAATCTATCACCACCTGACCCCAAACTTCCTAATCTTCTATAAGAGAACTAAGTCTTAATCTTCAGAACAACAATGGGGCAGTGTCTACTTCATAGTGTTTTGGGTTTTTTTATGTAATATATGAGAAAGAACATAGAATATATGCAAAACAGCTAGGTACAGAGGGACACACCTATGATCCCAGCAACTCTGGAGATAGAAACAGGTGGATCACAAGCCCTAGGCCAACCTGGATAATTTAGTGAGACTCTGTCTCAAAATAAAAAAACTAAAAAAAAAAAAAAACCTTAAAAAAAAAAAATGGCAGGGGATATAACTCAGTGGTAAAGTGCCCTGGGTTCAATCCCTAGTACCAGAAGAAGAAGAAAAAAAAAATATATGTGTGTGTGTGTGTGTGTGTATATATATATATATATTATATATAATATATATATTATATAAAATATATAATATATATTATATTTTATATAATATATAAATATATAATATTATATAAAATACAAATGTAAGTAAGGAAGGAATGTCACTATTTACCTTAAGAATTGAAATATTGTTCAAAAAGTTACATTTGTTACCCTGAGTGCTTATTCTCCCCACCCCATCCTGGAGGAAACTGCTATATGGGGGGGGGTACCAAGGATTGAACCCAGGAGAGCTTCACCACTGAGCCACATCCCTAGTCTTTTTTCTTTCTTATTTTGAGACAGGGTCTCTAAGTTGCTGAGGCTGGCTTTGAATTTGCAATTCTTCTGCCTTAGCCTCCCAAGTTGCTTGGATCACCTTGTGGCACCATCGCACCCAGATGTGAGCTATTTTCTTTTTTTTTCTTTATTTATTTAGTCACTGGGAATTGAACCTCCCACAGACTAGATAAGTGCTCTACTGCTGAGCTATACAACCCCAAACAAATTTGATGTTTTATTATAAAACTTTTTTTCTTCTTTTATGATACTGGAGATTGAACTCAGGGGCACTCTACTATTGAGCTACATCCTTAATCTTCAAAAAAAAAAAAAAAAAAGTTTCATTTTGAGAACAGGTCTCACTAAATTGCCCAGGCTGGCCTCTAATTTGTAATATTTCTACCTCCACCTCTTGGGTCACTGGAATATAGGTATATGCCACTGTACCTGGTAAAAATCTTATTGTTTAGATTTTGTTTTTATGACAGTCATATGAATTCTTCAAAATGAAAAAGTACTAGATATATGAAGAAAAATAATGATAATAACTCTGGAAAAGTTTTTTTTTTGAAAGAAAAGACATAATTTTAAAATAACAGTTTTAACAAAGTAAACTACACACAAATTCTGGATTATTTTTATGAAGAATTATTGCATCACAGAAGCTTAAAGTATGCTACTTATGTTCCTTAAGCATATGAATTCAAAAGACATCTTTCTTTTGTCAATTTAAGAAATACATGATTTTGAAAAAGTTAAATATAGTTTATAGTAGAATTGTTTTAAAGAACGAGAGACCATTATATGTCCCATACCAGTGAAGAACTATTTTTCCTCATAATTTTATTTATTTATTTTTAATTTTTTGTTATAATTAGTTATACATGACAGTAGAATAGATTTTGACACACTGTACACAAATGGAGCACAACTTCTCATTCCTCTGGCTATACATGGTGAGTCATACCAGTACAATCATACATGTATAATATGGCAATAGTATCAGTTTCCTTCCACCGTCCTTCCCATCCCCACAGCCCCTCCCCTCTCCTTATTTCCCTCTGCACAATCCAAAGTTTCTTCATTCTTATTTAGCCTCCCCCCACCACCAATGAAGAACTTAAAAGCAAAGAAAATACAGTTCAAATAGCAAAAGGAGAAAAAATAAAGGAAACAATGAGGAGGTTTCGCAAGAAGCCAACCACAGAACGGGCTGAAAGACTAAACATATTAGTAAAGATCAAAATAATTGACAGTGATATTGGATTCAAATCCCCATTTAAAGACAGATTCAAACTGGGCCAAAAAAGCCAAATTTGATATAATGTTATTTTTACCAAAAAGCTAAAAACAAGTCAATAGGCAAGATATGTGGGGCAAAGGCAAGTAAGTATAATACTAATGTCTAAGTGGAACTAGAAGCAAAAGGTATTAAATGGACAAGGAGCCACTTTATGTTATTCACTGGCTATGAATTAAGGAAAGCCAATGTGCACTGAGTGCTTGTTTCTTGCCAGGCTCTGTTCTTGTTTTAATCAGCATTCACAAGAACCCTTTATTGGCTTAGCTACAAAAAAACTATTATTATCCCCATTTCACATATAAGAAAACCGAGGCAAAATGTGGCTTCTAAGCTGGAAACAGTGGCACACACCTGTAATATGATATGACGTGTATAATGATAGAGGCTGAGACAGGAGAATTGCATGTTCAAAACCAGCCTCAGCAACTTGATGAGGCCCTAAGCAACTTAGCAAGACGCTGTCTCAAAAAATAAAAAGTGCTGGGATGTAGCTCAGTAGTAAAATGGCCGTAGGTTCGATCCCCAGCACCAAAAAAAAAAAAATAGTAGCTTTTAAGTCAAGTGCCAAGGTCACACAGGTAGGACAGTCAGAGCCAGAACCAGATGTAGGCATTCCTATTCCAGATGTGAATGTTCCCAAAGCTTGGCATGGAACACAATACACTGAGATCTAGGATATCAGCTGTTTTTAACAGACTCATACTTTGTGGTAGAGAACCCCTGAGTTCTATCCCCAGTGCAGCAAAAAAACAAAAACAAAGTCTTTCATGCTTAAGATTGTCTCCCAGACTTTGAAAATTCTGGGATAGAACAAATAAGATAAAGAATGAAAAAAATAAGTAACTACTACTAAGGTTTTTTCCCCCTCAAAAATAAGCAATTTAATATAAAACCTATTTGAACAATGCTTTTTAGAATATTTGCCTAATGTCTGTAATTATAAAGGCATAGGATTAAGACTTAAGTATAAAAATAATTATGGGGAAAGGAAGTCAATTTATATTATAGAAAGAAAAAAATAAATTTGGTAACAATTGATGTGTATTTTTTTTTCAATTTTCAAAATATTTAAATTTTAAAAGTTATTTGGCCATTTACTATAAATTTATAATTAAGAAAAAAATAGACTGACTCTTCTGAAAATCAAGTATGTTGTTTTACTATGGTCTTTTATTTTATAAAAATAAAGTTGCATCATTAAAGTTTGTATAGAAGCATAGCTTTATTTTTGTGATTGGCACAGTAAATTTAAAGGAGTTCTTCTGGGAAAAAAATATGTCACTTTGAGATTTGGTGTTAATAAATTGTTAGAGAAATTGTGTGTATTCTGTTTAATCAAAAAGAAAAAGCAAAAGGTTGGTATTTCTGAGTTTAGTGAGTAAAAAAATGTGAGATTTTACCTTTCTTCGCAGGTTGGAAATTCTGTTCTGAGCTCATGGGAAGCTCTTGTGAGTCTCTGGTCTTCTTGGTTTCTAACAGTGAGGCTGCAAGAAACAGGACAGTCAGTCACATGTTAATTGAGGTCAATTTGCACCAAAGAAAAGTTTTGTTTTTTTTTTCCAACAAATATTTTAAAGAGAATTTCAGATTCTCAAGTAGAATTTTCTTTCCTTGAAAAACAAAATGGCCATGATTGCTTTTTTCAGAAAATCAAAAGTATGACAAGAAGATATTTGTGTGTATTAGATTTCCGCAACTATAACAAAATACCAGAGATAATTCACTTGCAGAGAGCAAAGTTTTATTTTTGGCTCACAATTTTGAAGGTTTGAGTCCATGAGTGGTTAGCCCCATTATTTTGGGTCTGTGGCAAGGGTGCACATCATGGTGGGAGTACATGATATAGCAAAATGGCTGACAGCATAAGCCAGGGATCAAACAGGAAGAGGCTGAGATCCTACTATCTGCTTAAAGGGTACACACCCCAGTGACCTAAGGACTTCCCACTAGGCCCCACCTCTCAAGGGTTCCATCACTTTTCAGTAGTGCCTCCCTGGGAACCAAGCCTTTAACATTGGGCCCCTGGATAACATTCAAGATCTAAACTATTAGCAGTATTAGAAAAATAAATTATATTTATTTATACCACTGTAGTCTATACTAATCGAGAAAGAGAAATTATCATGCTCAATTACATTTAGAATAACTTTTCATATAAAACTTGTTCATTAGAAAATAATAAAAAAAATAGGTTGTCAGAAATGTTTTCAGTTTTCATTTCCTTTTCTGCACATTAAAAAAGGTATATATTGGCCGGGCATGATAGAGAATGCCTATAATCCAACTCCAGATGCAGAGGCAGGAGGTTTACAAGTTCGAGAGGCTAGCCTTAGCAATTTAGTGAGACCCTGTTTCAAAATAAAAGTTAAAAAGGGGGTAGGGATGTAGCTCAGTGGTAGAGCACCCCTGAGTTCTATCCCCAGTGCAGCAAAAAAACAAAAACAAAGTCTTTCATGCTTTGTTTCTAGTCAAAATGAAGGGTTTATTTATTTGTAGGGCACATGTACAAATATGAGAGAAAACCAATCAAAATTTATTTTGTATCAGGCTTGAGAGCTTGTTTCCTTATGCACAATTTGTACATATCTCTCTAAATTTATTCCAAATAATTTTGTTATTATTATAAGTGGAATTTTTACTTCTGTCTTACCTTCTAGTTATTGTTTGTACACATGAGGGCTATTAGTATATGCTGTCATTTATATGCCATAAAATTGATATGCTTAAAAGTGTACAATTCAGCTGGGTGAGGTGGTACATGCCTGTAATCCCAACAGCTTGGGAGACTGAGGCAGGAGGATTGTGAGTTCAAAGGCAGCCTCAGTAATTTAGCAAGGTCCTAAAAGCAACTCATCGAGACCCTGTTTCTAAATAAAATATAAAAAAGGATTGGGGATGTGGCTCACTTTTTAAACACCCCTGGGTTCAATCCCTGGTACCAAAAAAAAAAAAAAAAGTACAATTCAGAGCTTTTTAGTAGTATACCTACAAGGTTGCACAATCATCATTACTATCCAGAACATTTTCATGCCCCCCAAAAGAAATCCCACAACTGTTAGCAGCCTCTCCTTATTACCTGTATCTCCCTTCTCCAGCAGCTCTAGAAAAAACACTAATAACTTACTGCTTCCTGTCTATCCCTTTTTGCTTATTCTGAATCATGCAATATGTGATCTTCTGTGGCTGGCATCTTTCACTTGATGTAATGTTTTCATGGTTTATCCATGTTATGCATAGCTTACATCAGTATTTCATTCCTTTTTCTGATTGAATAATACATCATATGAATATGTAATATTTATTATCCATTCAACAGTGGATGGACATTCGCCTTATTTCTACTTTTGGGTTGCACATTCGTGTGCAAGTTTGTATGACCATACACTTTCATTTCTCTTGGGTGGATTTTCATTTTTTCTTGAGTGGAATTGCTGATGCGTATGATAACTCTATTTTTAACATTTTGAGGAATTCCCAAACTGTTTTCTAAAGCAGCTGTGCAGTTTATACTCCCCTGAGCAATCTTGAAGAATCTAATTTCTCCATATCCTTGCCAAAAGTTACTGCTTTCTTTTTCATTCTAGTTTCCTTTATTTGTACCTAACATGGGTGTGAAAGGTTATGTCACTGTCACTTTGATTTGTACTTTCCTAATGACCAGTGATGTTGAGGACTTTTTCATGTAATTACTAGCTATTGTACATTGTCTTTGGAAGTGATCTATTTATTTTCTTTGGCCATTTTTATATTTATTTATTTGGTACTAGGAATTGAACCAAAGGGCACCTTACCACTAAGAGGCATCCTTAGGACTTTTTATTTTTTATTTTGAGATAGGGTTTCACTATGTTGCTTAGGGCTTGCTTCACTAAGTTGCTGAGACTAGCCTAGAACTTGCCATCCTCCTGCCTCAGCCTTCTGAGTCACTAGGATTACAGGTGTGCGTCACCACAACCAGACCATTTTTATTCTATTAATTAATTTGTTTTTGGATGTTGAAGATCCAACCAGGGCCTTGCACATTCTAGTTTTCTTTACTGAATTCTTCTGTTTGCACCAGTTTTATACATAATTCTCTTGGAGTTTTCAGGTAGACTCTCATCTCATTGTCTGCAGAGAGGGAGATATTCTACCTCTTCCAACTTTTTGTTTGTTCGTTTTGGACTGGAAATTGAACCCAGGGACATGTAACTACTGAGCTACATGCCAAACCCTTTTTATTTTTTATTTAGAGACAGGGTCTAAGTTGCTGAGGCTAGCCTTAAACTTGTGATCCTCCTGTCTCAGCCTCCCAAATTGCTGGGATTACAGGTGTGAGCCACTGTGCCTGGCTACCTCTTCCCATTTTTTTAAGGGGCCTTTAATTGTTTCCTCTTGTTAAATTGCATTGGCTAATACCTAAAACAATGTCTAACAGTGGTAGAGATTGTGGACACACATGCCTTGATCTTGACTTTAGCAGGAATGCTTTTAGTATCCCATCAATTTAAAAACGGATTTTTTTTCTGGGGGGTGCTGGGGAATGAACCCAGGGCCTTGTGCATGTTAAACCTGTGCTTTAATCATAGAGTTATACTGCTAGCCCTCAAAATGGCTTTTTATCATTGATGATTTGAGTTTTATCTTGTTATTGCTACTGCATTAATGTTTCTCTTCCTTTTATTATGTCTTTTCTTAATACTCCTTACTCCACTTTGTAAGTATGTCAGCCTTTCAGCACATGCACTTTATGAATTTTCAATAAGTGTATGTGTCTGTGTACAGCTCTATTTTTCTTTAAAGGCAAAGTCATTAAACATGCAGGAACCCTTTGGCTTGTTTCTTTTATGATGCCAGGGCTAAAAAGTTTCAATAAATAATGGTTTATTTAAAATGAAACAAAACAAAACAAAGAAGACTGACAGGCATTGGGTGGTATCCTCTCTGCATGGGCATGAATACTGCCTGACCGCCTAGGCATCTTTTGTAAGCAGAGCACATTACTGCACAGTGGGTATGAAAAAGCAAAGAGAAAAGGGAATTATGAATTTGACACAAAATTCCTAAGAGAACTGGAAGCTAAACTCTGAACTAAATAATGCAAAATTTATTTAAGCTTTGACATTTCTTCCACCTCATTATACAAAGTTGAATTTTTAAGGAGACAAGCTGTTCTAGAAAAAGTGAAGCATATACTTTTTAGTCAAGTTTTGTTTACTGGGCTTCACTGGGATCATTAAGCAGAACAAGGTGTGGACAGAAGCCAAGGTGGTTGTTCACCGTGTTTTAGAAATGGTTAGTAAAGATGACCCATGCTTAGATACATTTTGAATTATAAAGGAGGAAAAATTCATCAACCTTCTAGAATTTTTAAAGTTTATTTTCAAGAGAAGAAGAATCCATGTGTTTCTTTTATAACAAATACCAGAGGCCATGGGGAGAAATTCAGAGAGCCACATCACAAGGGCTTAGAAAACATATTGCCATTTACTTTCCTTGAAAGTTAACTCTACTATGTATTTCAACCCAAATACATCTCAAAAGAATGTTGAGAAAAGAATCAAGGATCATCTTCCACTGATGTGACAAATATATATTATATTTGGGGGCTAATTATGAATGCCATTCATTGTGAAAGAAAAATTTCTTCTCAAAATAGTTGAAGTTTGCTGTATGTTTTTTGCCCTCATCCTATTCTCCTCTCTTTCTGCCTTAGAGATAAACATCAACCTTAATTTGTTTTGTTTGTTTGTTTGTTTGTTTTATGTTTGTTTTGAGTCCTAGGGCTTAATTCAGGGGCATTCTACCACTGAGGCACATTCCTCAGCCCTTTTTACTTTTGGAGACAGGGTCTTGCTAAGTCACTAAATTGCTGAGGCTGGTCTTGAATTGAGATGCTCCTGCCTCAGCCTCCCGAATTGCTGGAATTACAGACGTGCGCCACCACACACAGCCACATTTTTATATTTTAGTGTGGCAAAATTTATGAATCTTTTAGAGAATTTTTTCTTTGAATTTCAAAGTAACTGTTCCCAACATAGTCATAAAGATACAATCCTATATTTTGTTCTTGACCTTTAAGTCATCTGGAATTGATTTTGTTTTTTTTGTTTTTTGGAAGATGAGGATTGAATTTTTACTATGGTTCAATTATGGACTATGTCTGTTTTTATAGACTTAGATAACAGGCAGGTGATCAACCTTCCTGGTTTGCTGGGGACTCAGGCTTTCATGGAACTTTTCAATGCTAAAATGAGAAAGTTCCAGGCAACTGCGATGAGTTGGTTATCCAAATACTACGAATTCAGACATACTCTCCTTCACTGATGCCACCTCTGTCATATGTTGAAAAAGTTTTCTAGATTTCTTTTATTGTCTTCCATTGATGTGGGAACTACATGTTGTATTTTTGCACTATTTATAAATGCCATTAATTGTGAAAAAATTTTTTCTTATGATTTTTTGTAAGTCTGAAATAATTCGATTTGTCAATTGTTGGCATGAGATTATTTGTTTACCGCTGGGTTTTATACTTTTGAACCCCAAATATGACACATATTCCATTTGATTCCTTTTGTGTCTACTCTTGTCACTTGTGTTCCATGGCTTCCCTCTGGGTTCACTTTCCTCCCCCTGAAGTACTAAGAACATTTCTTACTACTTTTTAGGGAAGGCCTGTGGGTGGGTATAAATTCTCTTGGCCTTTGTATGTCTGAAAATGTCTTATTTTATCCACATTCCTGAATAACAGTTTGGGTTTTTTTTTAATATTTAATTTTTTAGTTGTAGTTGGACATATTCCATTCATTTACTTTTATATGGTGCTGAGGATTGAACACAGGGCCCCGCACATGCTAGGCAAGTGCTCTCCCACTGAGCCATAATCCCAGCCCCACAGTTTGGGTTTTCAGAGTTTTTAGTTACTTTTCTCCAGGACTTTGAAGATGTGGCTTTGTTGCATTTTATATACATACATGATAAGTGCTACATAAATGCTGGTGATGATGCTGATGATGATGGATGATGATGATGTCATCCAGGAATAGATTGTAATTTTATTCACTCTATTTGGTACTAGTCTTCTAATAGTACCCTACTCTGGGATCCATTCCCACCTGCTACCCTTACATTATCAGGATGATATGTTACCAAGGCCATGATCTCAGCCTCCTTGCCCTGTCCAAGGGAAGGAAGGACAGCTTAAACATTAGCTAGAGTCTCACTGACACTGTGATACCCTTTTTATCCTTGTACACCTCTCATATGACCATCTCTGTTCACAATGAGATCTGTTGGCAGAGTGAAAAGTGAAGAAGGGCCCTGAATGTAGGCTCTCACCATAGATGGGTATCTTCCCTGTGTAGGAAAAAGGTTTTCTCTGTGTCTCTTCTCTAGCTTACTGCCAAGTTGTTTAGATTTCTGTGTAGGCATCTGAAGTCTCACCTGAGTGCCAAACTGCTTAGCTGTTGTCCACCCCATCTCCCCACATGCCCACCTGCCGTCTGGGATCTGTCCTGACTGCCTCGTGATCTCATCGGTCTTGGCCATGTTCTATTGCTAGGCTCCATCCACCGGACTGGAACTTCTTATAAGTCCACACTGGCCCAAGTCAAGCAGGATGAGCCCACTAAACTTTCCTGGATGTTTTACAGCCTACCTCCAACTTTCTCCCCAGGATCCAGTTCTAATAGTTCTGTATCACTGTTCTTTTTTTTCTCCTTGTTTTATAATGCTGGGGTTGAACCCATGCTAGGCAAGTACATCTCCAACCCTTATAAAATTTTATTTTGAGACTAGGTTGCCATAAGGCTGATCCTGAACTTGTAATCTTCCTGCCTCGGCTTCCTGAGTAGCTGGGATTACAGGTGTGTGCCACTATGCCTGCCTATATCACTCTTCTTAATCAGTCCCAATATCAGTTTTTCTTCTTCTCCACTGGATAGTGAGGTCTGGATCTACCTTATAGCAAAGCCTACATAAATTTACAATTATTTAATTGCTGAAAGTGATGTACAAGTTTAGCTGGTGCTAGCACTTGTCATATTCAAAATTTCAAAGATGCAACCTAACATGAATATGATTCCTAAATGCAAAGTAATCCATTTCTCCAGACCTTGTGATTCAAACAGTCATGGTGTTTTACATGTAATTCATTTATCACTCTCTTTATTTTTTAAACATTTAAATTTTTTTTTCATTGTAGGTGGACACAATACCTTCATTTATTTAATTAACTAATTTTTAAAGAAGTAGTGCTGAGGATTGAACCCAGCGCCTCACACATGCTAAGCAAGCGCTGTACCACTAAGTCATAACCCCAGCCCCTATTTTATTTTTAAAGCAATAACTGTATCTTCTTTTACCCAGTAAGGTAGTCTGTATTTTCAGATTTCTTTCTCCATTTTTTTGGGGGGGTGGGTATTGGGGATTTAATCTAGGGGCACTTTACCACTGAGTTACATCTCTAGCCTTTTTTTAAAAAAAATATTTTTTTTTTAGTTGTAGATGGACACAATACCTTTATTTTATTTGTTATTTATTATTATTATTTTTTTATGTGGTGCCAGGGATCAAACCCAGTGCTTCATGCACGCCAGGCAAGCACTCTACCATTGAGCCACAACCCCGGCCCTCCCTTTTTGTTTTTTGAGACAGGGTCTCACTAAGTGGCTTAGAGCTTTGCTAAGTTGCTGAGGCTGGCCTTGAATTTGTGATCCTCTTGTCTCAGCCTCCAGAGTGCTAGGATTACAGGTGTGTGCCATGGCACTTGTCTTTCTTGCCATTTTAAGCACATATTTTGACAATTTTCTTTATTAAAAAGACAAAATTGCCTAGCATGCATGAGGTTCTGTGTTCAATCCCCAGCACCTCAAGGAAAAAAAATAATAATAAAAGGAAACTAGCAGAAGATAAAAATCCAGGCTTCATAATCCTAATCTTTAAGATAATCTTAAATACTAAATCCTGAACAAAGTCTTTATGCCAAAGGCGAGTCTTTCTAATCACCTAAGTGACGTTGCTGTCCATATGTTAAAGTATGATCAGAACTGCATTCCATTGTCCTTTTGTTGTCTAACCAATGCTAGCTAGCCTGATTTCAAGTATTTGAATATAGGTTTCTTGAGAACTAAACAGACATAGCTATTATTTAAAAAAAAAAAAAAACAAACTGTATGTCTTTAACAGGCATGTATTAATTGCTTAAAAAACACTGAATTAGTTACGTTGAATTAAGCAGGCTCTATTCAAGGGTAACAATTCCCAATCAACAGCACATTAATTTTGAAAATTTAAAAGCCCCCACACTTACCATGAACAGCTACAACAGCAGCACCAGCAGAAGCAGCAAGCATTGGAGCCCCGATTCCCTGCTCCATGCTGGCCGGGGACTGAGCCTGGTGGCTCCTGGGCAGCTGTCATCTGCCGCTTCCGCATCTCCATTCTTTCAGATCCCATAACCTGCAATAGGGCAAGGAAAAAAAGAGTAGGAAGGGGTGTGGAGTTATGAAGACAGCCCAGGGATTCAGTTGTTTGTGAAGATGCCACATGACTATATCCAGGTCATTTTCTTTTTCTAATTCTGGTAAATCCTGGTGCTTAGATTCTTAATATCCATTAATTTATCCAACACTTATTTAATGGCTAGCATCTGCCAAACATGGTAAATTCCAGGAATAAAATGGTGAACAGAGTCTTGCTCTTAGGCACTCAGAGTTTAGTAAAGGAGACAGATAAATATGCAGCAGACACTAATAAGTTGCTCCAATAGGGCGTTTTCTAGCTCCAGGTTCCCTCAGGACTGAATCAAAGGGCAAGCAGTTACAGGTGGCAACTTAATTACAGCGGCCCATGAGGTTGAGCACAGAGAAAGGAGCAAGCCACACCAAAAAGATCATTCGTGCCAGGACAGCAGACTGAGCAAACGTCAGAAGAGGAGTTGGTATTGGGAGGCTGCAGGTCTGAGAACAAAACCATAATATTCACATCTTTACTAGTTGCATGGCCTTGAAGAAGGTACCCAAGTTCTTACATGCAAAATGCTTAGAACACTGCCTGGTACATAGTTACTGCTCAATTATTCCCAGGAAGTGAAGTGCAGGGCCAGACAGCTTGCCCAGACTCACCCCATTATCTTAGGAATGGTTCCTCTTTCCCACTTCCATGGAGGCCAAGCCACCGGATACACAAGATCTACGCCCTTCAGCTTCTGTGTTTTGTTGAGGACTACAAGCATGTGTGAAGGATCAAGGCACCCAAGCAACCTAAGAAAAGAAGCTGCTAAACCCATTTTTACTTTTGATATTACCATTGAATTCTTGATGGAGCTAATTGCAAGCTAATATCAAAGATACATTAAAGAACTTTAAATAAGACTTCAGAATTAAGTTTTAGATATATTATTCTATTCCAGCATTAGATTTGTCTATTTCGATTGACTATGCCTTAATCCTATATGCTTCTAGACTTTTAGTTATTTTAATCTTTCTTTTTTTTATTAGTTGCTCAAGATAATACAATGATCTTGACATATCATACATTTGATTCAAATAGGGTCTGAATTTTCATTTTTCCACGTGTACAGATTGCAGGATCACATTGTTTATACAGCCACGTATATACATACAGCAGTACTAGTGTCTGTTGTATTCTGTTGCCCTCCCTATCCCCCCTCCCCTCCCCTCCCATCACCTCTCTTCCCAATCTACTGTAACACATTTCTCTCTCTTTCTCTCTCTCTCTCTTTTTCATTCCCCCTCACACCATTGTATATGTATTTTGTATATCGATGAGGGTCTCCTTCCATCTTCCGTGCAATTCCCCTTCTCCCTCCCATTCCCTCCCACCTCTCTTCCCTGTTTAGTGGTAATCTTCTTCTCATGCTCTTCTTCCCTACTCTGTTTTAATCTTCCTTTATTTTTATTTTAAGAGACAGGGTCTTGCTGTGTTACCCAGGCTGGCCCTGAACTACTGTATTCAAGTGATCCTCCTGCCTTAGCCTCCCGAATAGCTGGACTAAAGGCATAAATCACTATGCCTGAGATGTTCTAAATTCATTATATGGAGTTTTAAAACTTTTATTCTGGGTTGGATAAAAAAAGTTCTCTTCATTTAAATGTTTATTGTGGTGAAATTTTTTGGAGTCAGAGAGCTGTTCTTGATCTGTTTTTATTGTTGTTAATTGTTTGGTATTTTCCCAGGTGAATTTTGAAATTAGCTTGTTACAGTACAAAAATAATCATATTGGCATTTTGATCAGAGCTACATAGACTGTACAGATTTATTAATGAGGAATGATATCTGAGTTTCTCATGGGAGTTTCAGGATAGCAAGAGAGATCCATCAAAAAGTTTTTATGTCCCTTCATCCACACTGAAAACAATGCTCGTAACACCCAGACACTGTCCACAGCACCCCAGCCTAGGCTGTGCAGTTCAGGGTTCCTGAGCTGGTACCAGCAGCACCTTGGTCAAAAGACAGAGGCAGAAACATTTGCCAAACTCCCCATCATGTTATATGGGCTCCACTTGGATCTGGCTTGTATGATATGTCAAGGTCATTGTAGTGTCATGTGTAACTAATTAAAACAAATTTAAAAAAAAAAAGACAGAAAGAGTTCTAACCTCTTCTAATGCCTGTTGAAAGTTGGGCATGGTGGTACATGCCAGTAATCCCAGGGTTTCAGGGATCTGAGGCAGGAGGATGGTAAGTTTAAGGCCAGCCTAGGCAAGTTAGTGAGGCTCTGTCTCAAAGTAAAATTTAAAAATAAAAAGAGTTAGGGATGTAGTTCAGTGGTAGAGCACTTTCCTAACATGCTTGAGGTCCTGGGTTCAATCCTAGCATGACATTAAGAAACAATTTTTTTAAAAAAGCAAATATTGATAATTGTTGAAGTTGTTATGTATTGTGGGATTCACGCATAGGATCTGTTATACTGTCTCTACATTTATGTATATTTTAAAATTTCCTTAAAGTTTTAAAAAATGTTGAATCTCTTAGATTTTTAAAAATCTACTAAGATGAGCATATGAATTTCCTCCTTTGAATACTTATTATGAACTAAGTTACATTAATGCATTTCTTAATGTTGAGTCAACCTTATTTTCATAAGCAATCTCTTCTTAGGTCTAAAGATAACTATTTTCCTATTATGCTACTAAATTGATTTAGTGGTATTTTATATGGATTTTTAACATTTTATCTACATACCCTCCTACTTACCTACCTACCTACCTATCATCTTCATAAAGGAATTATTGTTTCCCTGAACATTTTGTAGAATGTGCCTATAAAATTATTAGAATCTTTTAGGAATGACCTGTTGACTCTATCTTCAACTTTGATTTCTGTTCTTTCATAGATTCTTCCTCTTTTTGTATCAATATGACATTTTTTCTTTCTTGAAAAAAGAAACCATACATTTGATATGGATTTCAATTTATTATTAGTCACAATTGGCAGAATAAGATGCTTTAAGTTACTGTATATTTATTTTAGAGACAAATGCATAGTTGTTTATGGAAGGGTGGCCTATTTAGTTACTAATATTGGTAGAGAATAAATGTTTTTTAGTGTAACAGAAAATTAATATGAAGTTTAACAATAATTATTAAATGAATTCTACCTATTTGCAAGATTTTAAAAATATGCCATTGGTGTATATGTTAAACCAGACAGTAATGTATGACCTGATTGGCCAAGTGAGGTTCTTACATCCTTCCTCTGTCCCTATCTTATCTGTGGGAGGACTCTACAGTCTTATTTCCATTTGTTCCTTCTAAATACAATGGAAGCAATGCTACTTTACATTGCTATTCTGTCTCTCTTTCAGTGTGTGTCTGGCAAAGAATTGCTAGGCATCATTTCACTGTCCTCTGGGGTGACTCAGGCATGACATAGGCAGTGTCCCTCAGCTATTGGCTGCTTTTGCTTGAGCATCCTGAGGCTAGAAGTTAGATGAATGCAAAATCAGCGCTGGCCATTACAGATGCTTTATTTTATAATTCATGGCATTTCAAAAGCAGTCTGAAGAAATGGGAATGGTACAGGTTAGTATCTTATTAAATATTTCAGATTTCAATTGAGATAAATCCTATTTAAACATAGTTTTTCCAGATTCCTAGGAACATGACATTTAAGAGGACTCTTTGAAAGTTCAACTAAAAGCCAACGCAAACTCTTCATCTTGATCACAATCTTTTAGTAATTTGGCATTGAAAGCATTAACTAGTTAGAAAAAATATATGACCTAACTGTAATTAGATCAGAAGAGTTATTTCTTATTTCCTGGTGCATTTAAACTTGATAGCTGGATTCCATAAGGGACTGTTTGTTTTGATTATGGTATCCCAATTCTGAACATAGCCATTATTGAATCGCACAGTGGGAATATATATGATGAAACAGCAAGTATTATATGGAAAAAAAAATCTTAAGACCTAACACACAAGTTTTTGTTCCATGAGGATATAGAATCACAGATGAGATCCCAATGAAGGATCCCAAGAACTTGAAAAGACATACATTTAAAACCCTCCTCAGAGACCCTTAGACACAGGATCCTACTATCAGGGGACAGTTTAGAGTTCTGAAAAATATCAGAATATAAGGAAATTTGAGAGGACAAATTATCCTGGAAGAGACCAAAATCCCAAATCCATTTATATAGTCTCTAAGTTATTTTTGACTGAACACACCTTGACTCTTGACGTATTTCTCTTGGGGCAGTACTGCTAGGTAGATCCTGGATGCTTAACAGGGCCTCAGCTAAATTTATGTCAGAGCAAAGAACCCCTCAGTGCTCTCTGTTATCTGCGATAGGCACTGACTTTCGATATCTGTTAAGTGCAATTTGTAGGAGGCCATTTGGTTTGGACTGAGCTCCTGTACAAGGCCCAACAAACCAAACCAAAATGGAGTCACTCGTGTGAGAGTTCCTCACCACCGAAACGAAACGAAACGAAATTATTTATCTAACTTGTCTGAGAAATCAGGAGAAAGAGAAACAGTAATCAAATTCCCCTCAAAGTCAGTTTTAGTCAGCATAAGAAGTTCCCTCTGCTTTAACTTGTATAAGGAAAGTAAACTGAAATAACCAACTTGTTTTGGTTTCATGTTTCTGTTTTTCTTAGCCTTTCTGTGTCTCTAAAGCAAGCCTCCTCTGCTCAGTTCATGGAAATAATAATTCTGTTTCCCAGAATGAGGTGTTGCTCAATTTTAGAATCACAGATATAAGCAAATTAAGATTTCAAACTAAATTTGTTGTAATTTGGTCTTTTGACGTAGCTTACCTAGTTTTAACTTCTAATTTTGTTATCTTGCACAGGACTCAGCTTATGATCCAGTTTCTTACTCCACTGTGCCTGCTACCACAGGCTTCACCAGTATTCTACCCAAACTCTTGTTTCTGTTTTGTTTTTTACTTCTGGGGCCTATGTCTTGTGGATACATTTCACCCTCCA